CGCGTGCATTTGCCCAGGAGCCCACCGGGCGCTCCGGGGGCCTCCGCTACATCCCCAGGAGCCTACGGGGGTGCGGGGCGGCTCAGGCCAACATGGGCCCAGCGGAGGGGAGAGCGCAGATCAGGGTACCCGCGCCTCAGGAAGGCCAGAGGGGGCTCCTCCCGGGCTGTGGCGGTTTGAAACCCTAAACCCCGCGAGGGGCTTCGGGTCGGGCTCCCCCCGCCCCCCAGGCCTCCAGGCGGGAGGCAAGTTCCCAGCTTAGTGGGGAGAGAGGTTCCACCGTAGATGCTCCCCGTGCAGCCTTTCAAGATGCCCCGCTGAGCATCGCAACCAGCGCAGCCAGGTTCGCAAGCCCAGGAGGATGGTGATAGCAGGACAGTCCCGCTGGTTTATTCTGAATCTGGCCGGCACTTGGGGTTCCCACACCTGCGAACCAGAAACCCACCCCCGCGGCGCCTTCCGCAGCAGCGAGGCACCGGAGTGCATGGGAAGCAGGCACGGGGGACTCGGCGCAGGGGGACCCGCACCCCCAGTGCGAAGGGCTTTTCGGGCAGCTCGTGAAGTTCCTGCGCGGAATGAACTCTTTCCTACCAGGCGGCTCAGGTCATCGGCGAGAGAGACTTTCCCCTCCGCCCCTGGGAGAAGGGAGAGGGCCGTGGCCACAGTCCCTCCCCGCGCCCCCTGGGGTAGCCCTGACCCCTTTGCCACAAAGCAAAGTAGAACTGAGCGTTCTGTAGGGCGGATGCCTATGCCAGGCTTTTCCCTCTTGGCTCCCCGGCGGAAATTTCAACAAGGCTCATCATTGCTCTGGGATGTAGGCTTTCCCGGTGCGTTTTAAACGTAGCGCTTAGTTAGTTGAAAGGAAGAATAACCCTTTCCCTGGAAAACAGGCCGTCTTTTCTTCTTCAGCTTTAGGGAAATCTGTCACTAGAGGTGGTCTCAGAAAATATCTAAATATTTTACATTTTTTCCCTTTTCAAAACCCTGTCAAAAATAAAATATGCAGAAAGTTGGGATTAGAATCTTAAGCCTTCCCTTAAGTGCAAAATTCCCCCGGTGTGCAAAATCTTCCTAAAATGACACTTCTAAAAATGGGATATTCCTGAAAATTATTTCTGTTTTCAGTGCCGTTTAAGGGAAAATAAAATCCAGAGAATGTGGGGTTTTTTTGCTAGCAGTTCTGACCCAATTCCTGCAGTTGGTACCATGTCCCGGGGAAGGGAACTTCGGAGGAGAGGGACTTGTGGAGGTGCGCACAGATAACCCGCCATCTGCGCCAGCCGGGCCCCAGCCTGGGGATTTAATGGAACAGCTCTTCCTCTGGAGGGGCTTTGAGGAGCTTCCCTTTTGAAATCTAATTCTTAGTCCTCCCAGGGCACCTCCCCCAGTGCAGGTCTCGGTGGGGTCCATGGGGTACCGTGGTTGACCTGTGACTATTTCACTTTAACTTCTCGCCTCAGTTGTGCAGCTCACAGGTGGCAAGATGGAGAACATGTCAAACCCCATCTTCTGCAAAGTTAGGGGGTGCTGAGTAAACACTTTGCCCCCATAAAAGTGAGGCATTGCCGCTCCCAGAACAAAGGCAGTAAACTCCTTCCGCAGAGTCAGGGGGAGTCGCCTATCCCGGTGGCATGCACTGGGGTAGAGCTGCTGCACCGAGGGTGCCATTTAAGGTTTCATGGGGACGTTTTATAGGGCTTGACGTTTACAATGTAGAGAATAGCTTTTAAGTATTTTTGAATCAGCAAAAAAAAGCCTTAATTATTTGGTTAATTTATATCATACATCACTTACAGGATATATACATAAAAGTCATACATATGCATATATATGTGAATGCATATTTTATAAAAATATAATGGGGAAATCTAACATACCGTGAAAGTCTCTAGATGGATTCATTCCGTGTGCACATTCGGGAAGAACAGAGAGGAGAAGAGGAAAAATAGTTGTATGACTCTACTGACAGCAAACGCCAAACTGACCGATGGTTGATGCATTTCATTCTAATTGCAGGCAAGGCAAGTAGAAAAACTAAACCCCCTCCACTGTTTTTGCCTCTTACACTTCTGAGCACTGGAGATTTTTTACAGCATGTTGTCCAGTGTTGGCACAAACAGAGCTTAAAACAGTGAATCGGCAAATGAAAAATGAACTGTTACAGATGCTCAGGGTTCCTGTGCCTGCGACCTGTTTTCCACCGCTGCTCACGCTGCCTCTATCGCGCACGGAACCACCGAGGTTTATTTAACAGACATTATAGACCTACTGGGAGCGTGCAGACTGGCCCGGCGTGCCGCGTGATGTTACGCAAAAGCATGTAACCATCTGTCAGGGGGCAGAGGCTTCGATGCAGGAGGTAAAAATACACATTTTTTAAAGTGATGAAAAGGAACAATTGGGAATACACCTCAGGAGAGAAAACACCAATGGCTAACCATTCTGATCATTTTCTCCCAAGGATAGGATTTTGAAATATTCCTTCCTGCTCGCTTTCCTCTCTTTCCCTTTGCGAGGAGGGCAGGTTATTTGTGACAAAACCTCGCATTCTTAAAATAACAGATGCAATCCATCATTACCGAACACAGTGCCCCAGGGTAACTTCCACATGGGAGCCCCTCGCTGGGCAGGGCGATAGCGCAGCCCAGGGAGGGCAGTCCAGGACGCGGGTCCTCCCTTTTGGGTGACACCCACACACGGTGCTCTGAGTGCGAAGCCACGCCATCAGCTTTCCGTGGCGAGAATGGTCAGCGTTTCGGCCACAAACCTGCGGGAAATGCCATTTCTCAAGGTCTTAGACTCTGAGCATCTCGAACACAGCAGACCTAAAGCTTTCAACCCCACAATATTAGTCTCCTGTAGCTTTAAAAACCCTTAAAACGCAGAAAGGAGGTCATTATTCCAGACGCTGTTTAAGGAGGCAGGAGAACAAGATCTGCAGCTCCTTGGTCTTCTATTTTTGCCAAAGTAGAAAGAAAAAAAAGCAACTAAAATAATGAAGGGTTCTGCAGGGCCGCCCCACCGTGAAAGATGAAAGGAGCTGAACATGGCGAGTCTCAGAGAAGCGCCTGCCACACCAAGACTGCGGCGTGCGTGTGCCTGGAACGACTCCATAAAGAGGTTTTAAAAGCCCAGCATCAGGGCCGGGCAGCAGCATTTGCGCTAATGATGGTTGCGGGGGGTGGGTAAAAGGTGACAAAGTGCCCGGAGTCAGCAAGCTGGGTGCTCGCAGGCGCGGCTCCGGGGGGACCATGCCAGTCAGACTGACCAGGCGCTGCATGTGTGGCAGAGACCAGCAGGCCGACCACCCTGGACGTTCCTGGGGGGTGGGGGTGGGGGTTGGGACGGACCCTGGGATGCCTCTCCATGTCCGAGGCCAGAAGCAGGGGGCGCGGGTGACAAGTGTTTCCTCGGGCGCCCAATGTTTCAGGGGTTCTGAGAGGAAAGCCAGGGTTTTCTTCCTAAACCTGAACACCGAGGCAGCGGTGAGG